CCTGCTTCTCCCTCTCCCACTCCCCCTGCTTGTGTTCCCTTTCTCTCTGTGTCTCTCTGTCAAATAAATAAATAAAATCTTTAAGAAAAAAAATTAAAAAAAAAAAGAAGATAGCAGGAGGGGAAGAATGAAGGGGGGGACATCGGAGGGGGAGACGAACCATGAGAGACGATGGACTCTGAAAAACAAACTGAGGGTTCTAGAGGGTGGGGGGGGGGAGGATGGGTTGGCCTGGTGGTGGGTATTGAGGAGGGCACGTTCTGCATGGAGCACTGGGTGTTACGCACAAACAATGAATCATGGAACACTACATCAAAAACTAATGATGGAATGTATGGTGATTAACATAACAATAAAAAATTAAAAAAAAAAAGGCCCACAGTTTAAGTCTTCTGGAAAAAAAAAAAAAAGAAACCAGGCAGTTGTCTGGAAGAGTCCGTGCAGGAGGCAGGCGCGGGGACAGCACCTTTCTTACGGGTACAACGAGGTGTCCTGACACGCCAGCAGCCCATCCTGTTCTTGCCGGCATGCACACTTGGTCTTCAGAGGTCAGCGGGGAGACGAGTGGATGCCCTTCTCCTCCCCAGGGGCGTGGAGCATGCAGCCAGGCCTCCTCTTTTCCTTTTGGCAGCTACGCGGTCGTTGCCAGGATGCTCCCAGAACAAGCGCGCCTTGCAAAGTGGCCGGTCTGCTTTGAACCCAAATCATCTTTTGACCTTAGACTGCAACAGATGGGAGATGTTTTTATATGTTTGAAGTAATTGGCTGTATTGCTCATACCCTACTTAAAAAAATATGTTTCTGAACAAAGATATGAAAAGCACCCTTGTGCTGTAAGCGTTACCGTGTTCATTCCTCAGAGGCTACCTTTCCTTGTTTCCCATCCAGTTCAGAGGTGTCGGAGTGCTTGCGGTTGGGATTCCTGTCTCAGTGATGGGGTCAGGGCATGTTCTGCGCAGCCCTCCACAGTGGGCCAGGAATACGTAACAACTCTGGGGAGAGGGATGAGCAGGTTTTGCTCGGAGGAGTGTGTGTGAATGAATGGGTCCAACCAGAAAGGTGTGGCTGGGGCCCCGGCTGGTACACCTAGCTCCACCTGACCTCTCCTGGCCCCGCCTGGCCTCTCCTGGCTTCTCCTGGCTTCTCCTGGCCTGCCTGCATGTGGTGTCCCCGCAGAGCTGTCCCTGCCTCAGTGAGTGCAGGAGGAGTGTGCCGGCTCCATCTGGCCTTTTAGTTTTAGCCCGATGTCTGAACGACTTGGGCCCCCCTCCAGGTTGAGCAGACTCAAGAGGCCTGTTTTGCTGGGGCAGGGCCCCTGTGTCCTACAGCCCGGAAATCCAGAAAGCCGAGAACTGGAAGAACAGAAGCTCACATGGCCTCCGGCCTGAGTTGAGCGGCCGTAAGCTCTCTGCTGTCTTCTGTGTTCTGTTTTGCAGAGAAACATGAACGTGTTCGCCTCCAGGCAGCTGGGAGGGTATTCGTGGTCTACCCGTGTCCTGTGTAACCTTTCTGAAGTCGAGACCTCCGGCCCCCCCTTGGATGAGGGTTCCGGAGGCCGAGGCCACAGTAAGGCCTGTGAGGTCAGGCAGCTTTCGCTCTTGTGACCCCAGGCAGCCCTGAGCTCGCGGCTCTACGGTGCCCACAGCCTCACCCCGCTGAAAACACGGGAGAAGCCCAGTGGGGCTGCTCGAGCCTGGCATGGAGGCTGTAGGTCCCCCTACCTGTTGGGAGCTCCCTGCACACACACGTTATCTTCCTCGTCTGAGTTACTCAGAGACAGCCTTCAGAACGTGCGCTTTATTATGTTACAAAAACAAAATTTCCCACCAAAACACAGCTAAAAAAATAACACATTTTCCCAAGATTACATTACCAAAAAAAGTTAATATCATTGGAATAGATCCATTAATACTGCTTGAAGACGCATCAATTACATTAAAAATGTGGGTGATATATATATGTTTTTTTAACCTTAAAGCGTTAAAGTGCTTTACCCTATGGAAACAGACAAGTGGCTGTCTGCATCGGAGATGCTGACCTGTCCCTGATCCGTGCATGCTGGGGGCCTGGGCCGCGGAAATGACCGCTCCCCAGCAGCCCAGCCCTGCTGACGAAGCTCTGCACACAGCCAAGCCTGTGGGGGCAGCGAGGGGCGCGGGGCGGGACAGGGCCCCCTGCACCCCCCAGCAGCGCGCTTTCTGGCCTGAGCTCAGGCCGGCTGGTGTCGGTGTGGACGCGTGATCCATCTCACTCTCCGGGCTGCTTCCCATCCAGAGCATTCCCTCCCGCCTCTTCACCGCTGGAAAACCCCACACCTTCAGGGTTTATTCGTTCTTGATTCTTGAGTTCGGTAGAACCAGAGTTTCAAACCAGGAGTGTTGCTCCTGTCAGTTTGCAGGTTCTCCTAAGCAGGGCCGAGTTTCTACGCAGTTGATTCTCGTGGCTTGTTCTCCCCAAAGGCGCTCACCCTCCAGCACAGTGGGAGAAAGGCTCCAGGACAGCGTGCGCAGCCTGGGGCCCCCACGGGAGGACGACCTCCTCCCTCCCCCCTCGATGTATGTTCGGGGCTCTGCCTGCCCTGCACCAGCCCTTTCCAGGGTACCTGGGGGGGCCCCTGTGGCATTTCCTGCTGGACTCAGGCCCACAGGAGGGCGCCTCGGAGACAGCCGGGGGCCTGGGCTTGCCCGCATCCAGCCGGGTCTGTGGGAGTTGGGGGATGGGTCCCAGTGCCTGAGGTGGAACAAGGGGGCACCACTGGGGGTCCCAGCGTGTGGCTGCAGGAGCGAGTGCTGGAGTCTAGCCCAGCCTTGAAGCCCAAGAAGCAGGACTTCGCCTATTTGCTCATTGGCAAACCGGCATGAGCAGGGTACTTCTTTCCCCAGCCTCGCTGTGTGTGTGTGTGTGTGGGGGGGGTGACATGAGAAAACGGGGGGGGGACATGGGCAGCCGCACACGGCCCCCAGTGGCCCTGAGTCTGCGGCCCGTGACTGCGGGCCTCTAGCGCAGCGCGTACCTTGGGGAGACTGCAGATCCCCGTGCACACGGAGCCCCTCTGGGCTAGTGAGCAGAGCCTGCTGCCCGTTGGAACGAGCTGGTTCTGTTTCCCTGGGTTAGCCCCGGCTGGGGGTCAGAGCCTCCTGGGTGCACGGTGGAGGGGGAGGGATGGCCGCATCATCCGAGACGCGGCGCTCACAGCATGCTTTCACGTCAGTGTGGACTGAGGACGAGAACAGCACGACCCTCCAGGGTGAAGTCCTGGTCTGGAGATGGCCCCAAGGCCAACTGGGGCTCCCTTCCCCTGCTGGCCAGTCTCTGAACCACCATGCAGCGAGGAACACCACTCCCCCTTCCCAGGGCTGACATGGAAGAAGGAAGCCGGCATTTTAGCACCCACTTTTCGTCCAGCGTGGAAAGGGACGGGGCTGGAGTTCTGAACAGCCATCTCTGAACACGCGGCCTGAAAAGTCGTCCTGCCCTCTCCAGAGAGGAAGGCTTCTCCTCGGGGGCCCAGGGCAACGAGAGCAAACCCGAAGGGTCCTGAGGGCTGTGTCTACACCTTCCCCGTGGCCTGGAGGCTTACCTGCCTCAGTGGGGACATCGGCAGAGGACCCACACATTCCGCAGGCGCGGCGAGGGAGCAGGCTGTGCTTGGGAAGTGTCACACGCCCTCACGCAGGGCGAGTCTCCGCTGTCCCTTCATTCCGCCTGCCTGGAACAAGGTGGTTTGCCTCGTTACCCATTGCCCGCATTTCTCTGTGGCCCTGTGTCCTGCCCCGGACAGTGCGCTCGGTCTGTCAGCGTGCTGCCCCGAGGACTCGTGAGGTTCCTTGCAAATGAAAATGGCCCCACGCCTGCGCCCAGCCCGCTGATGCCTTGGGGAGCCTCATGAAGGCTTGCACCCCTGCCCCCTGCCTCAGTGCCATCCCTAGGAGGCCAGGAGGGCCCTCCCAGCACCGGGCCTTCCTCTGAGCCCCAACGGGTGCACCTTCCTGCTGAATGCTCCCTCTGCCTGGGAAGGGCTCTCCCCACAGCCCTGAGAAAGGTGACCCACTGCCCTGCTCCCAATTTGCCAGTGTCGCCAACGGAGCAGAGCTGTCCCAAGTGGAGAACGTCGCAGCCAAACAGCGGGCGGACCTGCCCTGCCCCTCCACGGCCCCGTCTGGCATCTGGGCGCGAGAAGCTGACCCTTGCCTGGCTTGCCCTCTGCTGGGAAGCCAGCAATGCCGACGGGTTGAACCCTGAAGGGAATGTTAAGAATGAAAGCAAAAAATAAAATAAAGGCTGACCCACCAAGTACAAAGGGTATCATTTTATCAAATATCGACAATTTCCAGTAGTCTAATGAGCATGCTGTCCACGTCTGTGCCGAGAAGGTCACCGAACGGAGGTGGCTGTGGCCAGGGTGTTGGCTGGTGGCAACTGACCAGAAGTGTCCTTGCCTCCCAAGAGGGACCACAGACGCGGCAAACGCACTCCTTCCTAGGCCCCTCCAATTCCAGGGAGGTTCTGGCTTTCCTCTTTGGGCAGAAAGCGGAAGGTAGCTGCAGTGGTTTGAAGTGAGAGGGACAGACTGACCCTCGAGTCCAGCAGACGGACCCAGCCTTGAGCAGAGACAGGGTCTGAAGCATCGACCCTCAAATAAGCATGTTTTAGATACAATCCCAGGGCCGCTCACTGCCAGGAACCAAAAGACTTCGAGAAATACTTTTTGGCAGTCCATCAGCAGAGGTGACCCTTGTATTCCGAAGGACCTCGCTGGGGAGCAGCAGAGCCCTGAGGAGGACGAGGCCTTGGGGGGCGGGGGGCGCCGGCCCTCGGGGGCACCCCCCGGGCACAGCAATCCCGCCGTCCAGGGTGCTGCAGGGTGAACCTCGCCTTTTCCCCGGGCATGGCCTGCGGGTCCTGCCTCCCTCGGCGGTCTTTGCCAAAAAGCAAGAGGAGACCAAACACGGCTTCCGGGGACTCCGGGCCTCGGCCGCCGCCACCGACCCTGCCCGTGCCCTCCGCGCCGACTCTCCTGCGCGCCCCGGCCCCTCAGTGAATCTCGCTCTCCATGAACTCCTCTTTGATGGACTGTTTTCGGGACTTGCAGTCCGGGAGGTCGAAGCCGAAGTCGGCCCACTCGTCAGGCCCCGCGCCCCCGGCCGGAGCCCCGCGGTTGGGGATGGTGATGGTGTGACGCACGCGGAAATGCACGGCCTCCATGACCCGCTGCCGCTGGAGCTCCCCCGAGCTGCCGATGGAGATGGTCGAGGCGTTGCTGCTGGAGCGGAGCAGCTGCTGGGCGCCGTAGTCGTGGCTCTGCTTCAGGTCCTGCAGGCCCCTCCAGATGGTCATCCGGTGCTGGTCCGGGATCTTCAGGGCGCCGAGGTCCTGCACGAGCCGCGGGCGTGCCACCGTCAGGAGGCCCGCCCCGCGCCCCCCACCCCTGCCGTGGACGGGGCAGGGGCAGCTGCGTGCGTGAGGCCGTGGCCTTCCGTGACCGGAGCCAAGAACGGGCGTGTGCGTGTAGGGGTGAAGCCATTCCCGGGCTCTGCGGACCGCGCCCCTCCACAGCAGGCCCCGTGGGGGCCGGAGCGGATGGTCGAGCCCCCGCGCCCTCCCCCGCCATGCCAGGCACGGGGCTCGCGTGGGTGAGGGGCACTTACCATGCACTGAACTAGCCTGGCGGGGGCCGGTGGGGACAGGGAGGGGGAGGGCGTCCGTCCCAGTGACTGGCCCCGGCGCCTGCGACGGGCCCGCAGCCCTGGGCGGGAGCCGAGCACCAGGCTGGGGAGCGGGGGCTCGGGAGGTTCCCGGCCGCTGAGCTGGAACCCCCCCGGGATCTGAGGCTGCCCCTGCGTCTCAGGGCTCTCGAGGCTTGCGCTTCCCTTGGCTAACCATGCATTACAGCTCAAGGTAGCCCTAGGCTGCGAGCAAGTGACGTCTGTCACAGTTCAGGAGGGACTCGCTGCTGGTGTCTTGTCTGACCCAGAGATGAGCCGTGGCCCTTTGCTTCTAGCCTGGCACGATCTGAACCCAGGACACACAGGACGTGTCTTGCCTCCCGTGGGCCTCAGTTTCTTCCCATGTAAGTGGAGAGCTGCACCAGCGCCAAGACCCTTCCGGCCTTGGCAACTCTCTGTGCTTTGGGAACGGCCTGTCCCCCAAATCAAAGGCAGCCGGGCCTCTGGGTCCGCGTGAGCAGTCCGCTGCCAGGGGCCCCGGCGGGGGTCCCATCCAGCCACCGCCTGGGCAGCTGACCACACCCACGCCTCGAGAGCTGACTCGATAGGAAGCCAGACGCGAGAGAGGACGTTGGGCTGGCTCTCGGGAAGAAGGGTTTTCCCAGATTTCCCCACTCCGCCTCCCTCGGAGAGAGCAGGAAGCAGAGCCCCGAAAGTGGGCCAGGGCGCTGGGCTCTGGTCTGTGGGCAGGGCGCCTACCTCTATCGTCAGGTTCTGCAGGTGGTAAATGTTCTGTAGGCCCTGGGACGTGAAGTACTCGATGCAGTTTGGACACCCCAGTCCTGTCAGGAAACTGCGGGGAGAAGGCAGGGGTGGAGCGGCTCTCACTTCCAAGCACACGCTCAGCTGTGTGGCCTGGCGCCCCTGCCCGCCCGTGGCCACGCCAGGAAGTCCCGTGTTTCGTGCTTTCTCCCGAGCACCTATTGGGTGCTCACTCCTGACCTCCCCCGCCACTATCCATGCTCGGACATGCAGTGGAGTGCCTGAGGACAGGCGGGACAGCCCACGCACCTGACCAGGCTGGGGTCGGCGTGGTAGGGGGGTGGTGGGGTGCAGTGGGACCCCGAGACCATGGACTGGGCGCCGTGGCTGCTGTTCATCTCGCCGCTGGTCGGCAGGGCGTGGCTGTGGTTGTTGAGAATCCCGGGGCCTAGGAGAGGGCAAGCCGGACTGTCAAGGCCAGCCGGGTCGGGCGTCCCCCACTCTGCACAACCGGGAAGCTAGCACGGTGCAGACCTCCCCACGGTGGGGAGCGGACAGAGGGGACTGTCCGTGGATGTGCCTCCCGCCCGGGGACAGGAACTGCCGATGGGAGGCAGTCATCGAGAGCCCCGAGCTGGGCAGCAGGGTCTGCAGCCAGACCTACCCTCTGTGCCTCCCCAGCCCATTCTGCAACCCCCCAACCCGGGCCACTCACCCATAGGCCCCAGGTTGGGCCCGGCCGCAGAGCTGTGCGGGAGCGGCTGGCCCACCAGCTGGTTGACGGAGGGCAGCTTGTTGACGGCCGTGTGGGCTTTGTTCATGGGCGAGAGGACCGGCCCGTAGGAGGCAGGCTGCAGGTGGTTCCTGCTCAGACAGCCACAGCTCCTGGTTATTTCCACACAACGCCCCGCGCTGCTGGGGGCCTCCCTCCTCGCCTGCGTTCCCTCCCAGACCTGGGCCAGACAGCCCCTGGCCTGCCCTCCAGCGGGGAGGACAGAGCCAGCTCCCACCGCTGGAATCCACCAGTGGGGCCGCCTGCTGACCCCCCGCCTTGCAGTCAGTGGACACTCAGGAGGCCCCCGTGGGAGGGGCGGAGCCGTGCACGGAAGGCTCCCGGGAGGAGGGCCGCCGAGCGGGGGCCCTGGGGGCCTGTCCTGGTGGGGGTCCGGCCAGGGGGCGCACTCACGGCCTCTGCAGGAGCTGCTGTTGCTGCCGGTATGTGTCGACCAGCTGCTGCGGCACCAACTCCATCAGCTCCAGGCTCTCCTTGACCTTCATCAGGATCTCAAAGTTCTCTCGGCCCCGCACCTGAGCACAGACAGGGGGACCCTCTGCACGGCGCCTCTGGGGGTCTCGGGGGCCTGTCACCGAGCCCCCTAGCACCCTGTGGCCAGGGAGCCCCCCCACTTCTCCCCTCTTCCCCTGGAGCAGGTCTGGGGCCCGGTGAGCGCCCACCGTTCCTCCCGCCCCCGGGGCTCTGCACACACAGGCTGCTGGGGCGGGGGCACCCGCCAAACACGAGGCTTTGAGGATCAGGGACTCATTCTGGAATCAGGGTTACATAACGGAAGAGCCGTCCTAGCAAAGCTGGTGGGTCATCTGACCCAGGTGACAGCCATATAACCTGGGGTCACAGACTTCAGGATTCCGTGACCCCTGATGCACTGTCCCCTGGACGGGTCTGCATTCCCCGCCCCGTCTCAGCGGGACTTCTTGCTTGGCAGGAAGCAGCACGCAGAGTCACCTCCCCGCAGTCTGGCTGCCCGGGGCTGCTTCTCCTGGGTGCCCCCCCGCCACCTGCAGAGCCCAGGGTCTCAGCTCTGAGCACGCCAGGGCCACTCCCCGCCTGCCCCCGGCTGCCCCAGCACACAGGCTCTGCAGACAGAGGACACTCACGTGCATGTAGTACACGTCCTCGTCCCCGTGCCGCCTCTTCTTCACGTTGGTGCCCAGGGCAGGGACGGCAGGGGGACTCTGTTTGAAGGCTGCAAGGGAAGGCAGGCCACACGCAGGTCAGGCCGGCAGGATACCTGCCACCCGGTGTGAGCTGCCCAGAGACCAGTAACCCGTTCAGGAGGGGCTGACCCAGGGCAGGGCAGTGCTGGATGGAGCGGAGCCGGGGCGGCCACGGCTCGCGCCCCGAGGGGTCCAGCCCTGCCTGCCGTCGTGGCCCGCCCCCATGCCCCGGCCCGGGCCGCTCACCACGCTTGCTGGCCGCCCCGTGCTTTGCGGCGCTCTCGCTCAGGGCCTGCTGCTCCCGCTGGTGGTCTTCGTCAGCTTTGCGGTCTCGGCCAGGACAGGCGCAGATGCGGCCCTCAAAGGACCGGCGGCCCAGCACCTGTCCGCTGGCGGGGGGCCGGGGGGAGGCACAGCCAGAACCATGAGCCTCGGGGGCCTGCCCCCAGCCCTGCCAGCCCTGCTTACCCTCCCAACCCACCTCGCACAGGGGGGTCTTGATGAGCCAGGGGCTGAAGGCTGAGCTCCCAGCCACTCTGGGACACCAGGTCCCCTGCCGTCCTCCCAAAGCCCAGCCCCTGCTCAGGTAGCCATATGCAGCCCGGGGTGGGGGTGGGGGGGTTGTCCCTCCTTAAACTCACCTCCAGGGCTAGCACCATCCCTTCCCATGCCCCAGATTCATGCACAGCCCCCAGCAGCAAGGCCCCAAGCCCCCAGTCCAGCCTCCCCCACCCCACACGCCCAGCAGACTCACTCCCGGGTCTCCAGGGTGATGATGATGAGGATGGGCCGCCGGTTCATGCCCCCCACACAGCTGCTGTTGCACATGAAGTTGTACAGGATGGTGGTGAATTCTGTCCCCACCTGCACACAGGAGAGGTGGGGGGATGGCTGTGCTACCAGCCTGCAGGCCCCAAACCACTGAGGTGGGGGCTCCTGGGCTGGGTCCTGACTCTGGGTAGGCATGGGGTGGGGCAGCCCCTGCACTGTGGTCCTCTGCCATTCGTCCAACCACCTGCACGCATCTACCTGCTGTCCACCCGTCCATCCATCCATCCACCCACCCACCTACTCATCCATCCATCCATCCACCTGCATGCACTCATCCCCCCATCCAAACCATCCAAGCATCCGCCTGCCCGTCCATCCATCCATTCATGCAGTACATGGAGTGCCATGCACCATGCTGGCTCTCGGAGGCAGAGTCCTATGGTCTGGTTGCTCCAGCCATCTCCCCTAACACAGATTAGAGGTCAAGCCCTGGAGGCTGGGTGTCGGTGGCGGGCAGGTGCACAGGTTTCTGTGGGCACAAATGTGTGTTCTGCTTGCTGTGGGCTCTCCTGGGCAGAACGGTGCACGGCTCTGGCAGAGGGACGGACCAGAGCCATCTGAGAGGACCCCCATCTCCAGCTCGGGCCGTTTCCCAGGGAGTCTGTGGACAGCTGAGGCATGAACCCAGGACTTTTGACCCCTGGGCATCCCAGGACCACAAAATGGGCAGTTGTCATGGTCTCCCTGGGTCAGGAGCTAAAACTCGGTCGCGGGCGTAGGCAAACCCGGCCTTTCACAAAACTGCTGACACATGACAGCCACCAGGGGGCGGGAGAGCCCTGCTTTCCTGGTGGACTCCGGCAGGTGAGCGTAGGCTGGGGAAGGAGGGCCAGCAGGGTGGGGGGCCAGGTACAGGGATGGGGTTTGAGTGCAGTCTGGGGGCCAGAGCCAGATAGAGGAAAGGTGGAGGCTCACTGTGCCCACTCACCCTGGGAAGCATGGCACACAGGGCCCAGGCCGGGGGCACAGCCCCCGCCCCCATCCCACCACCAACCCACCATCCCTGCTCAGCCCCCCACCCCCACTTGACTCCACCCCCAGCTTTTCACGCCAGCTGAGCCCTCGGCAGAACCTTCTGCGGCCTTTGGGTCACAGCAGAGCCCTGGCGGGGCGGGGGGGGGCTCTCCACCCCGCCCACCTCCCACTCTGGCCCCATCCCTCACCTGCAGACCCTGCGTGCACCCTACCGGCCTCTCTCCCACAGCCGGAGAGGGCCCGAGGGGGTCCCACCTAGACCCGCACACAAGTGGTCAGAGTGGGTGCCGGGTGCCGGGGACTGGGCGGGGGAGGGCGAGGAGCTTGCTACATGGCAGGAGATGCTGGGGCCAGCGGGGCTGGCTGAGGTGACCTGAGTGCTCCCCCCGCCTACCTGCGGGGGCTCGTAGGGAACCATGACACTCTGCCTGCCCGTGACGGGGTCATCCACATACTGCGAGAGATTGTTGCCCTCCACGCGGATGAGGTGGCTGGCCGGAGCAGACTGTCCTGCCGCGAGGGGACACCGCTTCAGAGGGGTGCCCAGCCGGGGGTCGGGCCAGCCCTGTCGCAGCCAGCTGGGGACCACAGGGCTGGCCCCACTGGCCTCCGGGGTGGGGGGACTCAGGCCAGCAGCCCGCGGTCCCGTGGGCACCCGCCCCCAAGGCCCCAGGTGCCGCTGGGATGGAAGGGGGCTGGGGAGGGGAGACACCGAGCCCACGCCGCCGCCCCCTGCCGCCCCCCAGCCGCCCCCCAGCCAGGAGGCCCTTCCCAGGGTGCACTGGCCGCTGGGCATGGGGCTGGAGGTCTCACCTTCGTTGAAGTCCCGCCCGAGCTCATGGTTGGGGCAGCGCTTCACGACCTCAGTCACGTGCTCCGCCTTCTTGTAGACGGGCATGGCGCGGACGATGGTGCCTGGGGGCGGCGGGGCGGACACCTTGATCTGGATGGGGCAGGTCTTGGCAATTTGGCAGTAGAGCTTCTTCAGCAGTGGGGAGTACTGGTGGGGGTGGGGGGCAGGGTTCAGGCCCAGCCCCGACTCAGCACCGTGGCAGCGGCCGCGGCCCCACCCCCAGTCAGGAATCCCGCCCCCAGCTCGCGCCCCCACCCCCCCGTCAGGAATCCCGCCCCCAGCTCTCCGGCGACCTGCTCGCCCCTTCGCTGGATGCCTCCAGCCGTCCTTCCAGTGCCCCCTCCGGGCCCCCCCTCATGCACGCAGCAGCACCTGGCCGGTTTGGGCGCAGGGAGAGCAGTTGGGCTGTCTGTCTGGATCTCACTGGCTGCAGAGGTTAGCACGTTCCGTCCATCTTATGGGTGAGGACAGTAAAAGTCGGGGAAGCGAGCTGCTGCTGGAGAGTGGGGCTGGGAGCCAGGTCTGCCCTGCCAAGCCCAGCTCTTCCCACCGTCAACCTTCAGCCCCGGGACCCACAGTGGTTGGAAGGAGGGGATTTGCAGCATTGCATCTCAGTTTTTAAAAACCCAGAGTTAGGCTTTTCTGGTATTTTGATGAGAAACGTGTAATTGTGAGACAGGCTGGGTGCCCCTATGCACCGAAGCTTCAGGAAGAAACTCCCTAGAACAGCAAGTCTGAGGGGTTGAGCTCTGCAGCTTGGTATGGGCCACTGGCTTGGGGGGCCCTCTGACCTCAAAGCTCTGGTCCCTGCAGCCTGGGACCCTGTCCCAGGGAGGATCAGCACCCAGGGGACCCCGTCACCCACCTAAGAACCCTGGCCAGCTCTCATGAGTTCAAAGGTGACCCTGATGGTGGCCACAGGGGTGCCCACTGGTTTCAAGTTGACTGGCTTCTGGGGACCCATCCGTGCTCTTCATATCTCCTTCCCTGAGGCACAGTGGGCAGTGTTCCTGTCCTCAGACTCACAGGACACTTCCCGTCCCACCCCATAATCCCTATGCCCCCCACAAAGCCCCAGTGACCTGGAGTTATCCCAGCCACAAAGCCTGGAGGGAGCCCCATCACACCCCACCACAGTACAGCCAGGGAAACCGTACTGAACCAGGGACACCACTACAGACAGGTGTCCGGCTGGGGTCTGGCCCCCACCACGTGGTGCATCGCAGCAGACCGGGGAGCACAGACCGGGGCTTAGGCTCACAGCGGGAACTGTACCCAACATGGTATAGTCAGGGCGACTGAGGCCGGGTGCCGGAGCGGCCGGCAGAGCCAGAGCTGGTCTCAGCCCACTTTTGCCAAGGAGGCTGGGGGGCCCTGACACCCTCATCCTGCAAAGGTAAAGCCCCCACCGGCCACCAGAGCTCCCTCTCTGGCCATCAAGGGACACCATGGGCCCTCAGGGACTCATACCTTCAGCAACTGCAAGTATACAAAAACCAAGGGGTGGCAAACAGAGATGGGGCTGACCTGCAGCCCGAGAACGAGGGGTCCCCAGGGCCCTCAAAGCCCTTGGTCCCACAGTATGAGCCATCCCTCAACGTGCAGGTAGAGTGTCAGGCAGGGAACGGCCTGGCAAGCATCCTGGAGGCTCAGCACAAGAGCAGTCACCCAGGGGGTCTTCCTGGTGGAGGAGGCCCCCACAGGGAACCATGAGCCTCGGCTGGACTGCAGGGGCCCAAACACAACTAAGGACCCGGTGAAGCCAGCAAGCGTTTGTTGAGTGCCTACTGTCTGCCAGGCCCTAGACTCACTGGAAACTGGGCTGAGAGCCCCTTCAAGCCGCAGAAGAATCTAGACTTACTGGAGGCTCACAGCTAAAAGCCACGCAGCCCTGGTACTGGCCGGCCTCAGCTGGTGACCAGTGGGACCCTGCCCTTCTGCGGCAGCTGGTGCATTCCAGAGGGCATCCCCGTCCCCTGCAGGGTCAGCGGGGACCCCAGGAGGCCCGCAGAGGTGTCCAGTGAGTGAGGTGACCGGGGGCTGAGAGGTGGCCTGCTTCGTCCCTAAGTGAGAGTGGGGGTGGGCAGACACGCTGAGAAACAGGCCTGGCCTGGGAGGGGCAGGTCATAGTCACGGGTGAGCAGTGGGAGAATGGCCTTTGAGATCTGGCTCTGGTCCTCGGCCCCTGGGAGGCTGTAAACCACTGGACAAACCTCTCCGAGGCTTGGCGGGGGAAGGGGCACAGTGACTGGCTACACTTAATACCCTTGGACCGTTTTCGCAGTGGACTTGTTAGTGTGCTGTGGTCATTCCCACGTGAGATGGTTCCTGGCCCCTCTGTGAGCAGTGGAGAGTGCCCCCAGGGGCGTGCAGACCCTGCAATCCCCTCCCCAGAGCGACCAACCAGCGGCTCCCAACAGTCAATCACCCGACCTCCTGCTCCTTCCGCAGCCCGAGATGGGGTCTGTAGCCTCCCCCCCACCCTCCGCAAGGGCCAGGCGCCTTGGCTCACCAGCCAGCAGGGATGGAGTAGGACTCCAAGCGCAACCCGGGGCTCCGAGCCCCCCTCTCGAGGTCCTGCAGCCCAGCGGGGCGGGGGCGCCCCAGGGGTGCTCTTCGTGTCAGGAGTCGGGCCGAGGTCCCGGTGCGACGGGGAGAGTGGGGGGAACGGCGG